CCCCCCCACCCATTGAAAGAATGTGTGGCATTAAATGTAGGGAATGGGCTACTAAAGTGGAGAAGGGGGTGGGGTCAGATTATTGCACATGACATGTACCTGTAGTTATACAATTTTCATAGCTTGGTGTTTATTTCAAGGGCATTTTTCCACTATTCCTGACAACTTACCTTAGTTTCTCAATTTCGTTACAAAACTTTTGAAGAGATCTTAAGCCAAGTAACTCTTTAAGCAAGTATACATGTCTTTGAGCTTCGTCATGGCCTCCTTTTGCACAGTCTTCGTCATGCATGAGGTGATTTTGTTCATAATGACAACTTGTCTCATCCTTGTCACTTGATAGTGGATCAACATCACTCTCCTCTGAATCATGAACCTCCTCTTGAGATGACAGCATCCAGAGGATGTATTCAACTTCTTGCAATATCTTTTCTTCCTCTGTTCTTGTGTCCTTTTTAAATGGGAACTGAACCTCTGCAATCTAAATTTCAATGTAAAGAGAAGCAATTAATTTGTCAGAAGCCACATTATTTGAAGAATGGATATTTGATGATTTAAAAAGAGAAGGCTCAAGATCAAGGTTTAAGTTATTTAGCAAAGAAAACCATCAGGGATTTTAGGAATCAAGTTCAGGGAAAAAAAACCTCACTGTTTTCTTAACTTAAGGTAATAAAATTCAAATGGTTTTCTTAACCAAAATGTCACTTTGAAATAAAAAATCAACTTAATTAAAAAAGAATTCTGGATAAGGGGAATGTCAAAATATTCAATTGTGCTGTTGTTACTGCAACTCTCAGTAATATGTTAGTTTCTGTTCTATGTTCTGAAGTGACATTTAAGTCCAATTTTGACCCTTAACCCTTTACACTCCAAGATCAGTGTGTATATTCTCCACACTGTTCTCTATCCATTTCCAAAGGTAGTGACAAGGAGAATTTGTTCAACAGAGATTGTCTGGTGGGTGATCATTTTCCCTTTCTCTCATAATCTTGATGTTTGGTTCAGCAGAGATATTGTATTGTATGGAGAAATAAGATACCAATCACTCTTGGGGTTAAAGGGTTAAGTGAGTATCAGCATATCTGAAATCATAGATACATACATGCAAAGAAACTAACACCCATACCAGATTGTATGGCTGACCTATTCCTGATTCCTTTCTGGAAGCAGAAAAGGATGACATCCTTTCAAACACAGCCATTTGAGAGCAACAGCCCAAGTGTTCTGTTCCCTTTGGTCCATGAGCTATCCCATCAAATCTCACGGTATAATTGTACTTGAGAGCTTGAGTATTTGACCTAAAATAAAAAACATCTGCTGTGTAATAGGCGTAACTTTGTGTTATACTTCTTGTGGCTTTTGTTTTAATAAAAATAACATACTGAAAAACTGCTTTGAATAGATGTTGGCAGCAGTAATTGTTGTGGGTGTGTTGCTGTTGTTTTTTTAATATTTAATCAGCTGATGATCAAAAACTGGTTATACTCCAAGCTCCAGACAAATGAGTAATCGTTACCTTTCTCTTTTACAACACAGGGCAGGGTAAATGTCACTGGTAAAAGTTAGGATATGACTCTCCCTGCCAAAAGTGTTTCCTGTAGCTCAAAGGTAAACTACCTGACTGGTGAAAGGCCTGGGTGGAGTTGTACCCTACACCAGTTTTCTCATAGAGGGAGGGGGATGGTATGGATATACATATCTTGACTGACAACCAGGTGGGTATGGGTTCAAATCGTCATACTTGTGGCAGAACTAACCATTTTTCAAATTCTGCTCTTGTCCATTCAAACTTGTGGTCATAATGTCGGAATCCTTTAAGATCAGGGAACAAGACATTGAACTCGACATTGGGTGTTGTTACCATAACAACCTTGGGAGACAGCTGACCAAAGACTGCCTTTGGCATCAAATCAAGGATGTCTGGCTCAAGGTGTTCAATCCTTCAAAAACAATTAAAAAACTAATCCGTACAAAAAAAGAGAAAAATTTAACTTTTAATGGCTGAATGACACAGGGCTGTGAGGTAATTATACCCTACTCAGTACTAGCTCATCATTCAGATGTCTTCCTGGAAAGTGGTTCTTTTATAACATAATGAATATGTTCCACTTTAATGTGCATATGTTCAGTAATGGATCATGGAAGATGATCACTGATGATCATCACTGACACTTGCCAGACGACTTTGTTTTTATCACATTTTGACATCATACATGGTCAGTTGTCAGAAAAATCAATCATGGCAATATTGCATGTAATTTGTTAAAATGATGGAGAAGAAATTAAATTAAAACAAAATGTTATTGACTGCAGCACAGTAACACCAACTTTTATCTGCCTGCTTGCAGGCAGTAGTTTGTGTTTTTAAGTGCAAAATTCAGCACAGTGAATATTCAGTCACCATATTGAGGGGTGGAAGATCTGGAAGGGTGACAAAGTGAGGGGGAGGGAGGAAGGGTTTTTCTGGTTTCTCTCCCCCTTCCCCCCTCTCCCTCACTTTGTAACTTGTCTCGCCGGATCTTCCACGTGTTCAATATCATGATTCAATATTCAATGCGCTGAGTCTTGCTCTTCAAGACACAAACTACTGCCTGCAAGCAGACTATGTGCTACACGGACAATTTCAGGTAAGTACTTACAGTTCAATGCAAGCAACTATATCAAAATCAATGAACCTTTCATCTGCTTCAGCAATAGAACCTGGTGAAAGAATAAACAAATCTGGATAATTTTTAGCTCAACTATAAATTGGTTTTTGTGGCACTAGCTCTTAAGCGAGGAAAAACCTTTGAATAAGTCAAAACTTAAACTAGTACATACAGAGTTTCTACCTAAAAAACAAATATAAAATGACCTTGATATAGAGAAACTTTGAAGGGATGACTACGTGGTCGCAAATAGTCTGCTGTGAATGGCTTAATACGAAACTTGCTGTCCTCAAGCTGTTGATCAATATCTACACCAACCACTTCTTCCAAATGAATCAAATTGTCCTGAGATATCAGTGTTTTCACCAGCTTTGCTTCAGCACAACCAAAATCAAGAACCTAAATAAACGTAGATGACAGAAGTTATTAACAATGCAGAAAAATTTAATTTGTTTTCTGCCAAATTATACTTAGGAGAGCTAAGTCAGACAATGAAGAAGAATGTCACAAAGGCATGGACTCAGAAACAGATTCAAAAGTGGTCATCTGTCAGGAATCAGAAACATATTTCAGTCTTATATTTTACCAGACTACATGTGGGTTAGCTTAAGAGAACAGTTTTCGAAAGTCACTGACAGCATGCTAACCCGGAAATGAATGTTCTTTACCTTGTGTGTGTTTAAAATGTTTTCCTTACACTACAAGTGCAAGTTTGCAATGGAACCTGATCAGCTGGGGTGAAGATGGATCGAAAGCAGTAGCATTGGCTGTCTTCCCGTTTCCGTCGGTTAAAAAAAAAAAAAGTGCATATTTATAGCTCTCTATATGCCAGCAGACCACATACTATTTTAACACAGAAGCTTTGTGATGGTCAGTTACCTTTTTCGCTTGTCGTTCCTTCACCAGCTCACATACTGCAGCATATCGTTGACGATAGACAGGGGGATCAAACTTCGGACCTTTAAACGATCCTTCATTTTCTGTCGATCAAAGAGGTTTGTCTCCACGGGCAACATGGCCGATGATCGTCGTATCGTTTGCTGTGTCACCCATCCCTAACCATATCCTGGCAAACTTTCCTGTTTAAAAGTAAAATAAGTCACTCTTGAAAAACATGGGCATTGCTTAAATTTGAATAAAATCCAAGATAAGGATGCATACATATATCTTTCACAAGTTTGTAGTTTTCCAAGAATTGCCGCCATGTTTTTTTTGTGTGAGGGAGATTGGAACGAGGGAATTATTTCTTTACCAGGACCATTGTCCTGTTTCTAACCGAGAGTAAAGTGGGGCGAGCATTGCACCACATGCGAAAGTTTTTTAAAAATTGTTTTGTCTGACTTTTTGAGCTATTTTTAGTTTGTTGGTGCAATCTTGGAGCATGATTTGGTATAAAACCCTTGATAAGTTTCCATTTATATCATTTTGTTTGTTACGACTGATTTTGATTGTGCATTTAAAGTCTTACCACTCTCTCTTTTCTTCGTCATGGCAGGACCTTCTGTTTGCGTAGTCCAATCACCCGATGAAAGTTTCCATTCTTTGCGCGCTGAGTCTGGCAAAAAAGACTTATCAATTTTGTTATTGCCATTTGTTTATAACCGACCTGTTTCTTATGATGACGACGACGGTGAAGTAAAGTCTACAGCTGACGATTTTGATTCATGTGACGATGAAAATGACTACCCAAGCGAGTTTGATTTCCTCGATCAAAAACTTGGACAGATCTCAAGGCGAAATGGTGCAAAGAAAATATCCATTGCAGTGAAGGAAAAAAGGAAATATTGTCACCGAGATACTCGGAAGGTTATCTCCACGCCGAAAGCAAGTTGTGCGGGATCAGATGATTCTGGCATTGGTCTTACTAATAAAGAAATGCGGATCAGGGAAGCAAGGATTGAAAATGTAATGAGAAAGCGGGAGAAAAAGATAAAAGCAAAAGTGAATGAGATTACTGACGATAATCTACGCTCAAGAAGCGAAGTGCAGGTGGAGAATGTGGAGAAACCTCTAAAAAGCAGTTTTAGGAAATCTGTAAAGAAGAACCCAGTAAATGTTTGTACCAATCAAGCAGCCAATCCACCATCATTTTACAATAATTCTGACTTTATTCTCGACTCAAACAACAATGGTGTTAAATTTGAAGATCAGTCTTACTTGAACTTGCTGATTGAACTTCAAAACCGTGAGATTACACCTGAGGATTACGACTTGCTCCTCCAGTTGGATTCCTCTGTCCAGCTTAAGATCTTGTCTGCCGCCAAAATTAGGAGACTGTCATCCGATAAAGTAACAGATGAAATTAATGACACATGTAGTATTTGCATGGAGGACTATGTCGCAGGGGATAAGAGAAATTTTCTGCCCTGTGGTCATCACTTCCATAGCTACTGTATAAAGACTTGGTTAGGTACAACATCAGACAGATGTCCAATTGATGGAAAAGAAGTTAGGTAGCATTATCAGATACAATGTATATATAAACTTCATATATACATTGTATCTGATTTATCATCACGGGTTTATTACGAATCAACTTAACGGCCTGCTCCCAGTTGGCTTGTTAGCTCAATTGGTAGAGTGCTGCACTAGTATCGCAGAGGTCAGTGGTTCGAATCCCATACAGGCCTGATTTTTTTCAGGTCTGATTTTTGCTATTGCATAAATAGCGCTCTCTACTGCAAGGATCATGCATCATACGTAGGTAGCATTATGTTTGACTAAGTCTTTCATGAACAAAGGGTAGTCCCTATGTAAATCTTAGTAGACTCACAACTGGTACTCAATTTTATTTGAGAGCCGGTGACAAGAACAACGGTAAATCAGTCTTTTTTTTGTTATTTTATACTTCTCTGTTTATTTCTTGAAAATACTCTTAGCCATAAGACTAAAATTAAAAAAATAATAGAATTTTATGAATGTGACTTTTAATGGTTTAATGTCTCTATTTGGTCTTTCCACAATAATATTTAAGTATTAATACAAAAATTGGCTGCAAGATGGGATCAGGCTATCTTGTAATTTCTGCTCGCATAAAGAAGGTTACCCAACTTCTGTGCATTTTATAAATCTGACAGTCAAAGAAATACTATACCCTTGATCATAGAGGTGGATAAATAGTGAAAAACTCAGATCACATCTTCCAAGATGCACAAATTCTAACAGGAGGTCTGTGTGTGACATCTGTTCTTTTCTTTTTAAACCAACATGAAGTGCAGTGACATTCATCACAAACAAGTTACCAGTACTCTTTCACCATGTTGAAAATTTGGCCTTCATTTTTGTTTTCATTTTTATGTCTTCACTGCTTATATCCCAATCTCTTATCAAGACTATGGAACAATACAAGCTTTCTCTGCAGAAGTCAGTATGTTATGCCTACTCTCCATCACTGTAATTGTGGAGAAAAGATAGTTCACTTGAAGTTCTCTGTCCACATTTCCCTGTTCATTTTGACTTGTACTGCCTAAAACAGTACACATTTAGCTGGTTGGCTCTTTCCAATCCCTTAGTCAGGCATTGATTTCTGTGCTTTGCAGTGTTCTTGTACTTGCCTTGCAATTTTTTTTAGTGAGAATACTCTTTCATCTCATAGAAGCAACACCAACCAGTACCATAAAAACTGTCAGGGATACGAGGAACTCTGTTGTAAAGTGCCACTTTTTGTCGTCTTGCTACAAAATAATAATAATAATGATAATAATAATAATAATAATAATAATAATAATAATAATATTAATAATAATAATAATGATAAAAACATCAAATAAGAGGATGTTTGACTCTGTTTATTTCTAATCTAAAATGACAATTCATTTAAATAAAAATGTAGAGTTGGTTTGGCTAGTTGTTAATTAGAACAAAAAAATGTTTAAGCCAGATCATAAATTTCACCCAAGGAAATCAAGACATAATTACACAGGATACCTTCTTTTGTGGTTTTGGAAACTGATCATGTAAAGTGCATTTCTCTGAAGTTTGATGGCTTGTGTCTGACTGGGATCCTGGACAATGATCTCCCCTAAAATGGTAGACAAAATCTATCAATCACCACTCAATTGAATTTATTTTGCAAGAGCAAATGTAGATCACACAATCTGATCTGAAATTTTAAAACTGGATAGTTAGAGGCACCAGGAGAGAAAAACATCTTCCCCGCCCAAATCAACACAATGTACTGGCCATGGGATCTAACAAAAGTGCCCTTTAAACAATCTCTCCGAGGTTCAAATTGGTGTCTGTTAATTGTTTTGCAGGTCCAGGAGACATCTCTGAGTATTTATGTACCTGCATGATGTGTCTTCCACAAGATTAAAAGATGAAGAATTTGACATCTCAATGCTATGAACACTGCCAAAGAAGTCCGTGACCAGAACCTTTAGAATAAAAAGGAAATACACTTTTCACACCCCTTTAATTTCTATCTAACAATGTTAATTTAGTTAAATAGACCTTTGGTTTGACTCATGACAACTAATGATTAATCTGGAAGGGGGGAGCTTTAGCCTATTGGCAAAGACCAGCTGATAACAAGTCCAGCATACCAACCGTTTGACCAGGCTGTACATTTTCCTTCCATGAGATCTTCAATTACTATTACATAGAAAAAGTTGCAGTAACTACAACTTTGTCTGTTTGTCATGGAAATGCAAACTAAGCTGAGTTTGAAAATCAATCTCTCTCTCTCTCCAGATTCATGGCTGAGTATCTGCTACCTTTTCTCCTCTTCTTTTTTTGATATAAAATTTTCCAATATTTTCCCGTTTTTACAGTGGAATATGTCAGTCTATTTTTCACTTATAATACTTCTATTAAAAGTTACCGACCAATGTTAAATCTTTAGTCAGTATATCAATCTAAACACGACCAATGTAGCAAATACTCAATCTTTGGTACACACATTGAAAAAATCATGAAAAAAAAAAATTTTGACGGACTTTAAAGGTCTTCAAGTTCTTTTTTATTGCCGTAAAACCCCTCTGGGATCTGGAATATTTTACTTTCTACACCATCTTAATTTTAGAACAAAACTGCATTCCCACATATAGTATCAACTCGACTTCACAAGTCAGAATTTTTTGAGAAGGTCAATTATCTTTTTTCTTTATAAAATCATTATATTTTACTTTAAATTCGTTTTTTTTGGTAGGAAAGTTCTGCACTTGTGAAAGAAAACATGTTAAACCTGTTTTTTTAATTATATGTCACAATTAAAAGATTTTATTGCACAAAAACCACTCCGTAGCAAATAACCATTTAACGTAGCAAGTACCCACTTTATGTAGCAAATACCCATTTCTACTTCTTTTGCTCTAGAGAAACATTTTCTTTGGTAAAAGATTAAGTTTTAAGGAACTATTTGGGTATTGCTTAAGAAAAATCTATCCCTCTGTATTTTTCAATTTAAAATATAACACGCTTTACCGACAAAAAAAGCGTACACGCGCATTTTTGTAAGAAATAGTTTCGTTTCCAAATGGCTGAAATATTAAGCAATTAAAAGTGTTGTGGAAAGGATTTTGTTATGTTTATGTAAGTTAAATCATGATAGCATCTTAATCTTATAAACGCTGCACTTTACATAGGTAGTTTGAACGATTACAGTAGTGGAAAGCATTTCAGAGCAAAACAAGACTCCACGTTACAGCTTTGAAATGTGCACGTTATCAACCTTTTCATTAAACTTTCATGTTTCTAGAAGCTTATTGTTAAATCGTGCGTTTACAACCGTAAAGGATAGAACACTCTCAGAGGAACTAAAACGTAGAACGTATACAATTAACATGGACACAGAGGCACCGAGAAGAGGACAAACTATCTATTTAAGATAGAAATATGATAAAACGACGTAGATGTGTGTTTTTCAGGTATTGAGCCCTTTGGTAGTAGTTAGAATTTAGTTTGAGTATTTACTACCGTTGCAAATACTCAACTCCCTACTGAGTATTTGCTACCGTAGCAAATACCCATTAATGGTAGCAAATACGCACTAATGGGTATTTGCTACCGTAGCAAATACTCAGTGGGTAGTCGCTATGGTAGCAAATACCCATCAATGGTAGCAAATACGCACTAGTGGGTATTTGCTACCATAGCAAGTACTCAGTGGGTAGTTGCTACGGTAGCAAATACGCACTGAATGTAGCAAATACCCACTCGAATCGGACTCTCTCTCTCTCTCTCTCTCTCTCTCTCTCTCTCTCTCTCTCTCTCTCTCACTCCCTTTCTCAAATCTTTCTTAAGAAAACACCAAACACCAGCATCATATCCTATTAGTTAACTTTGATAAAAACAGCAGACAGATAGGTTTGTAAGGTCATGACAGCAGGAGCTTGATTAAGAAACTGTTCCACCAATCTCAGAACACTTCTTGAGGTCTACTGTGTTGGAAACTGATCGACAGTGTGCTCTGTTGCTGATCAAGTTTTCTTTAGTCAGAAGAAAAAATGAATGGCATGTTTTCGACCAAATCAGAGCATACAATACCTATTACATTAAATAATTATAATTGATTATGAATAAGTACCTTATCAGGGTCTCTCCTAAACAAATCAGATCTCACTCCTGGGGTGGAAATCACCAGAGCTGGTGTGGTGTATTCGAACTAGGTAGAACAATATTAGCAGAGCCATTAACAGGAGAAAAAAATTATAAAAATTCTGAAATAAGAGGTAAAGCCTCTCTATGAGTGACTAGCCTGTAATAAAAATGAGCAGTTGTGACAATCAGTTCCTTAAAATTGTTTACAGTCAAATCTAGACTACAGAACACATAGGGAGACATAAAAGTTGTTTTTTGTAAGGAAAAACAAACTTTTGATTATTCCAATTCTATCTTCCCTAAAGGGGGCAAGTTTCTAAAGAAACTGTGTTGCTGCGTCGGTGGGGGTAACAAGGTAGTTTGGTAACATTAACTAAGTTGAAATTGTAAATTGGCCACCATAAAGAGTTAAAAGAGTTAATTCTTTACAGTGCACAATTTACAATTTCAACTTAGTTGATATTACCACATTACCTATCTTCCCTTAGTTTTGTCCTCAAAACAAAATTGCTGCAATTTCAGACCCAGACAAGTTTCATGTTCACCCATACTAGTCATTCATGCAGTGAAAGGAGCTTAAACATGGAAAATAATACAACTCTTCTTTGTCTCAGAAGCATATTTTGCTTTCTGTCCATACAGAATACCCTAGAACAAAATTACTCACCAACTGTCCCACAGTAGACTTGCTATTGGGTCTCACACCCTCCAAGAACTGAAGCACATAATATGTATACCTGTCAATTACATGCACTCCAATGGCTGGGTCTTCGTGATGCTGAGGAAAAAAAACAACATCGATAAATTAAGAAACTACAACAATTGTAAAATCAGAAACCAGATTGTAAGAAACACCTCTGCACAAAAACAAAATGAAAACTTGATCATGTAGTCTACCAAAAAAAACTACTTGTTTTTTATGCTTGGTTTTCCCACAGGCATATTGTAATCTTGTAATGTTTGATAAAACTCCAAAGAATGTCTACAGACCACTTGTAAAAGCAAATGAGAATCAGCCAAGTTGAATAACACCACAGTAGAGCCTTTGAGTTTAACCCAATTACTCCTGAGATCTCAATAGTAATTCTCTTTACTATCTGCCATTTAATTCTTTAGGTGGTAGCTCTGAGAATTTAGTATTGGATCAACTAACAATCCACTAATGAATATTTATCTCTATTCTCATCACTAGTCTGTTTGATTTTGTATCGACATTGTAAGGAAAATTCTCTCTTAGTCACTCATGGGAGACGAAGGGTCCAGGGTTACTAGAGCAGCCTCATTCTTGACTTACATCCACTGTTAGCTCAGTTTATAAACATACTATACCACCTTTGTGTAAACACAGGTTTGAATCCTATTGAATTCTTTCAAGAAATTATCAATATTTTGGCATGCACCCTGTAGTTGCCTGACACAGATTTCTGCATTACAATCATAATTGATTTCTATCATACTTAAACAAACTTACTGATAATGAGTCCTCCCCTACTAAACTGCTGCCCACAGCTAGAATGTTGGGTGAGTACAATTTTTGAGTCATGGAGTACGCTTGACAGGTATCCACTATCAAGAAGACTTCATTGTACCTGACAGCATAGATAAGTGAAGCTTGATAATTATCATGAATATAAAATATATTTAAGAGAACCAAATTGTTCTTCAGTCTTCTCATAACTACAATTTGATAACTACATGATTCAAAGCAACCATTACCTTCTTGTACAATGAATATAAGAAGTTCATATATTTTGAACTGTGGTTGTAGATATGTATGATGCACGATCCTCGCAGAAGAGAGCGCTACTTAAGCAAAAGCAAAAATCAGACGTGAAAAAAATTTTTTTCAGGTCTGATTTTCGCTATTGCATAAATAGCGCTCTCTACTGTGAGGATCATGCATCATACGCATTACCTTCTTTTCTGCCACATTTGCTCAAAGGCATCTGCCAGCTCAATACTTGTTATCTCCTCAGCATCTTGAAATTTAAGAAAGCCATCGCCCCCATGACCTGAAAACAAAATCACAATACATGTGATTTATTAATCAGTAACTGTGAATGATCCACTGTTCTTGTTGTCGAGAATATAATTTAATTTATTGAAACAAGATGAGAAATGAAGTGCCATTCATCTTTAAGGTATGAAACTGACATTTCATATTAAGGCCACTTACCTGTCATGTATACAAGAATATTGCTTCTCTCATCAGAGAGTAGTCTCTTAGATCTTGGAACTCTGGATGGCAAACGACCTGTTATAGAGCATTACAACTCAGGCATTAATATCTGCACTTGTGCTTTAAAGAGTAAGATCTAAGTGCATGGTAATTATCTTGCATATAATTCCTATCTATTCTTTCTGTCCTTTCTTTTTTCAAACCTCTTCATTACTGTTTTTTTAAGTTTGTCAGCATTTTTCTTCATCAGTTACACCTTTTTTGCACATTTCTCATACTGCACATTATTTTACAGTCCTCTGGTACTTAAGCCAGTTTCTTTTAGGCCTAACCACTATTTAAAGTCAGTTTACCTTAGGTTGGGCTAGGCACACTTCTCTGTTTAGAAGTCTTATGTTATTCTTTGTTACAGCTATCTGTTAGGCATTATCAGTGTAAACATTTTTTCTGTTTCACTTTGTTTGAATTCTTTTACATAACTTGGATTTTCATCATTTTCTTTTCAAGCATCCTGAACAAAAACAGCATTTTAAAAAAATCTCCAGGAAAGCTGTTATAACATAACATGATTACCTGTTAATATCCTTATGAAATTTTCCACAGTGACCTGAAAAATTTAAATGCATTACTTAATTAACACATATCAATTAGTAAACACACATTAAGCAACTGACCAAAAATGATGTTAAACACCATAGTGGTAATGTAGTAATAAGAAAGGGGGAATTCTGCAGGCACAAAATAAAACCCTTAAATTCATGATAATTGCTAAATTGTTAATCATTTCAGTCATGATTTTGCAAAAAGGCAAAATTTCTATGTTTCTGACTGATTATCATGTCACAAGAACATACTGTCCTATATAATCACCTCATATCCTCTGTAATCCACTTCAATATCATCGCCATATACATTTATATGCTGGTTTGCATTGTTAAACACTGTTCCTATTTAACAAAAATATCAAAGAATTTGAGCCAGATCTTTAAAGAAAACGTGAATGATAAGATGCACCAAATTGCACCTTAGTATCATAAAAAAAACTGACAAAAAATTAAGGCTAGGATGCAGAGCAGGCATTCTTGTGGAGTTTGGGCAAAAATTAGGACTTTGGGCTTTCTGTTTTATTTTCCAGACCGCGCGTAAAATGGAGCAAGGTGAAAAATTAGGAGGCAGGGGGAGGGGGAGAGGAGAGGAGAGGAGGGAACGCCTGCCAGCAGTACTTGAAAATTTGAAAAACGCCCCCGATGCACGAGTAACGATAATGCGCAAACAATTGGCCAATCAGGTGGCGCGACAGAAGTGGATTTTCACTTCCGTTGCTTGTCAAAATTTGTTGTTATTTGAAGGGAATTCCCATGTGTCAAAATTTGTGTTCACATGTTGCCGAACGAGAATTGTCGATTTTGCGGCTGTAATTTTAAAGTTAAATGCGGCTTATACCTTTCATCAGAAAATTTATTCAGAGCATCGAAGAGAAGTGATGCTTAATGGAGTAATTTTATCAGAAGTGTGTGCTGGAATTGGCATAGAACTCATTGAAAACAACGAACAGTTGTCCAATTGCTGTTGCAATCCGTGTGCTAGGAAAGTCAGAAACTTGGGACAGCTCCATGCATTCATCCTTAAGAATGCAAATGGCCTATGCAAAAATCCAGAAAAGCCCAAAAGTACAAATAAGTGGCAATTGGATATGCCAAACAAATCTAGCCCGGCATGGAGGAAGAATAAAGCCGCTCGTATGTGCAAACCACCTACACCAAAAGATCAAGTCAAACTTAGCAAGTTCTTCTACTGGGACACTGTCCCAAAGACTTGTTGCTTTTAAGCCAATTTCTTGGGTCTCGACAACCTGGTCGTCAACGATGCTTTTCAGAGGGCAAACAACAACCATGCAACAGTGTTTCTTCGTGAGAAGCTGCTTGACTCGCACACCAAATCTAAAAATAATGCTTTTACCGAAGCCTGTCGGTAAGACCGCCAACACATCTTTATTTCTGGAAAGTTGACGTATGGCATCTTGCTGTTCTTGTTTTAAAACAAAGTTTTCTAAGACATCAAAAGTAGCTAAAGAATCGTTCAACGCAAGATCTATCTCTTCTTCGCTAAACGCCATATTGGATGTGATACATAACAAACTGACGTCACATTCTGCTGTCAATAAAAAATACTGGACCAATCAGAATCGCCCGTTCGTGAGCGAANCTGTATGCACAACACAAGAGCACCTCGTTAACACCCGAAAACTTCAGAGAATCCTACGTTGCCCTTACCGGAAACTACAAGCTAACATCTTGGGATATTAAGAAGATTACGCGTCGAACAAAATTTCAATAAGAGACTAGGATAGAGATAGATAGATAGACGTTTATTAAAAAGAATACCTTAATAGCAGCTGGAAGCTGAATTGCAAAGGTGTACAAATTATGTAATAGAACTATACAATAAAATCAAACCTGAAAGGGAACTAATTTACATAAATTATACAATTGTAATAGATGTTAGTTAAAATGTCTTGCGCTTGCTGGAATGAAAGTATCTCTGAACCGATTTGTTTTAAAGGAAACTCTAAATGGTCTGCGTCGTCGTAACTCCATAAGTTGATCTCGGTTATCGAAAGGCAGTAAGTGGTACAAACAATCCAAGGGATTGGAGACGATGTATTACTATTAGTAAGCTGACCTGGTCTTGGGTTCCGGGCATTGCAGGCCATATCATCAGCAAGCATTACAATAATATGACTGTAAAGGGAATAAAACAGCAGAAGCACTTCCATGAAAGTTCCAATAAGTACAGTCTTCAAAAGGCTATGGTCTTCATATTGAACATTTTATATGATACATAAAAACATCAGACAGTTTTTACGGTTACTCGACTTTTATAATCTCCGAGGGCACATAGAGTCCTTGATCACTTGTGCGAACATGTACACAAACTGCTCACCTGTCGGGGATTCCGAGCCGCTTGACACTTCTATACATGGAAAGGACGTTAGCTACGTGCCGGTAATTGAACCAAAACCGCGAGGTACATACCTTGCAACGATAAAGATAAAATAAATAGACTGAAAAGTTTTAAATTAACAATTCATAAAATTCATTGGTTGCCCCCTGTATGAAATTTTTCATTTGTATCGTTCTAAATGTACTTTTCTCTCACCAATACAGCCCAATTGTTAGTATGATCACTCTTGAGGAACTTATCAAAAGATCTTCCTGTCTGTGCCCCTACAAATTGTGAAAATACAGCTAGGTAGAGAAGTACAAGAAACGTCAGTTTTGCCGCCATCTTGAATTGCAATGCTTGCAAGACATCCTGGGTAGAAAACAGCGACGATCCGAAGATTCTTCGGGCTGAAAGAGCATCGATGTTCTGACCGTTTTTCTGGTATATCCCATACAGATTGTTTCTTTTAAATACTAAATATGAATCTATTTGTTCTATCCTACATACTCTCACGACTTTAATTTATTTCTTAAATAGAAAAAAAAAAAAAACACTGCCCGAAGTTAGGACCGAAGTACCAACGATTTCCGACTCATGACAACTGGCTCTAATTTTGAGTCAATTATCATGTTGTCATAACAACGTTCGAACACCAGTCATTCGATTAGAACCTTCGATCGAAGAGTGGATTACAGAGACGGAGACTTTATGTAAACATTTAAGGGAAAAACCCGAATCATGACGGCGGAGGAAAGTAAAGAATACATGGCGAAGACGGAGGTTCATCAGCTTTTTGAGGTAAATTTGACTTCGAGAAAGGCGCGAGAATCAGTGGGCAATATTTTAGCTTTACTACAACGTTTATTAATCTCAGGATCTTCATTCACAAATCTAAGGGACGCACAAAGTTCCATCTGATTTTAAAAATTTGAAATTTCCAAGCATCGTTGTCCTCTAGAATTAAACTTAGCGTGTGCTTCTTTGTTGCACTCTTGTAGTAAATTGACAGCGCAAATTGCGCGCAAACGGATGGCATGTATTAGCAGCAGGTAAAGATCGAAAACTTTTCGTTAAATTAACTGAGGTCAAATTAGAAGTGGTTAAGTGGACTGCTTTTTTTTTTTTTTTTTTCATGGAATAAAATGGACAGGTTCTACCCTCTGTAAGCCAAGACATGATTATTCGATATGGAACAGGTAGAATAGGATACATGATCGTCGATCGGTTTCCTTTGTTTTACCTTGCTATCGAAACCCCTCACAAACATTGCAAACTAATTAATTGTGGTAGATCGATGTTTTTTTTTTTTTTATTTTACTCTTAAAATATTGGCACTGACATGGATATATTTTCAGATTTGTTCCTGATAATACCATAAGTCTCTAGCTCTGCTTTTAATTCATTTTGCAAAAGAGTATCTGTTTATCCATTCTTCGACAGCTGCCATGTAAGCAATCGTACAGCGTTTCAGAGGTGATAAATTTAGCCTCTTTTTGCTGTTTTAAATATCTATTCAAAACAACAAAAGACGTCCGACAAAGGAGAAAGCAAATAAATACACCGAATTTCCGAATTCATGATGTGTTGCATTGAACGTATTCGGTGTCTTTCCAATATTGATTGATTCGTTGTAAAACATGTTTAGATTCAGCTGCTGTAATATATAAATGCATAAATGATGTATATTTTATAGACTAATACGTATTTGAAAAAAAGTCTGTGTATTGATGACTTGCATGCCTTTGTTTTGTCGCTTGAAAATCATTTGGGAAATTGGAAAACATGAAAATTTCTTTGTTAAACATTTCAACTTTGTGAAGCAAGGTTAACAGGCAAGTGAGATCTAGTTGAAATATATGATCTGGGCTTCTCCTGTTTTTAAGTACACAAGCTTTGTTCTTGTTCTTGTTCTTTGTGATTGTCAGAAATAGCTTTCCAACATTGTAAATTTATTTTGACCATAAGCTTCAAGATTCCCTCAAAATGTTTAGGAGGAACTTGACCAATATCATGATCCAAAATGTGACAAATAACATTTTTATATTTAAAGGGAATGCTGACTGGCCTGCTGTATCACAAGCCTGAGGATCACTTGGCTTTCTTAGAAAATTGTATTTCTCTTGCTAAAACAGAAAAGGATATTAAGTGGAACTCCTTCCTTGATGTCAGCAAGAAGCCCCTGCCGCCTATCCCAAAAACAGATGGTCCAATCAAATCTGAAGCAAGAGATGAAATTCGCACATTTACCACTGAACCAGAAATGAAACAGAAACAACCTCTACCTCCAATTAACGGAACTGCTCATCCATCCATTGATGATGATGACAAGGAGTTGACGGAGAGAAACATTTTGACATCTGAATCTGAGGAGGAGGTGGAGGTTGAGTTTTCTGGTCAAAGGATTGTGTTTGTTCTTGGTAAGGGAATCAGCTATCAGTAGGTTACTGGATATTCTCATAAAAAGTTTTGATACCTCATTCAAGCCAATTTTTTTGTTTTTCCAATTCAATTAATCATAATGATTCATTGAGCTACATGTATGTTAAAAAAAGATTAAAAAAAACCTCCACTTTGCCAATTTTCAACTTTCAAGTTCGTGAATGGTTTTTTTAAACAACCATTTGTCATCTATTTCTTATGGAATTGAATTCTGATAGGATTTAATGATTGCTGTCCCCTGTCCTTGATCTATCTAGTGTCCCTAAGAAATGCATTTGTTCTGTTTTGACCACAGGGGGACCAGGCTCAGGTAAAGGAACACAATGTGCTCGGATTGTTGGGGAATTTGGTTATATTCATTTATCAGCGGGTGACCTCCTCAGACAGGAGGTGGCAAAGGTAAACGAAAGGGGACACATGATTGAAGGTATCATGAAGGAGGGAAAACTTGTTCCTCAGGTAATAAATTCAATATGAAACAGCAAATAATTTAAACAATTAAAATTGCCTGACTAATGAATAAATTTATATGATTTAATAGTGGAACTTTCAGGCAGTTATTATTCTCTGTTCACTAATTTTAGAAAATGTTGATACCCTTGTAAAAAGGTTTGGTTTATTTAAACCTCTCCTACCTCAATGGAATTTGAGTATTGGTTCACTAGACCTTTCTTCAAAACTTTGGTTTTTTTTTGAGACACCCCCTCTCTCTGGGGGAATGTTTATTTTCTGGAACCAGATTAGGTACAAAATGAAATAGGAAATGAAAAAAGTGTTAAAATTTAAAACTAATGCAAAGTTTACCAATACACAACAGGCTGCCTTAATTAAACTAGCTGGTTTATCAGAAGTATGTATGTAACATTAAAATAATTATCTTCATTGTCAGCATAACATGG